TCGTCACTATGGAGTCAAAGAAGTGGGCAGCAGTTGATAAAAGTCTTTAACTTGTTGGAAATCCTTTTCGTGACACACAGTGCATGTTTCTGACCTGTATAGAAGAAACTTGGCGTGTCACGATCGACCTCAAAATTCCTGCAAATCAAAACTTGAAAAACTTATTATTGTTAGACAGCTTTATGTACTCATTCACATGGACAAAAATAACTCAGTCCTGCATATAACTATATGGATATTTTCAATAGATTTTTTTTCATTGCTTTCCGTCGTCCAAAGTGGAACATAGGGCTTCAAGCTTGACCTCTGAAGTTTCATTAGCGCTTGTGGTGTTCTACCTTCCCTCTTTAACGGGCTAATAATAATAATAATCATTTTATTCCAAAAAATAATAATTACGCAGAATGGAATTTTCAGCATTTTTATACATATTACAACAATTTAGCTCGTTTTATAAGTATGTACATACCTAAGGTCTAAGATAATAATAATACTAATAATGGAACCACTAAAAACAGAATTTTGGTGGAAGTATAATGAATTATAAGTAGATAATATCATCGATAATACGTGTAATAATAATAATATAATCTTTGCTTATACTTTGCAGTTCACTTACTGATCTAAGAAGTTTACAAGTTCTTTTCTGACATCTGACTATCTCTTCATACCAAAAACCCATACTTGAATATGGTATGGTAGAATTTTTCTGTGTATTTGTACGAGTGTAAATTCACATGAAGTTTCTTCTGGTTTTACCCATAGACATACATACAAGGAAAACGTTGCGAATAAAGAGGATGTTCAGTGGTATCAGACAAGAATTGAAGTGCCTATTGACAATAGTGTCAGCTGGCTGAGTCAAAGGCATACCACTAACCCTATACACAGTCTTCAGTGTTCTATGTAATATGAAATAGTCTTTTTTGAGAAGTCCAGGGAAGAATAAGGGTGAACAATAAAGATGGATTCAGTTGAAGACCATTTATGTGAGACCATTTGTTAACTTGAGAATAAGAATCTATTCATATAAGAACATTCCAAAGCAGAAACTACTGGGACATAAATGGTAAGGTCATCGGCATATTTAATGAAGTTAGCTTTGGAAGAATATGTAGGGTCATGCGAAAAGAAAGAAAAAAGGAATAGAGAGAGAGTACAGCCAGCGCCTTGAAGCACACCAGTTTCCGTTAGTAAAGAAGTGAAACGCTTTCCATTGAAAATAGTATATTGTTTTCTGTCCGGAAAATAAGAAGACAGCCACCTTGTGACTCAGGACTCAGTATTTGCTGAAATCAGCTTGCTTAGTAAAAGTATCCTAGGAAAATAGAATCAAAAGTAGATGTTTAGTCTAAAATGGAGGTTCGATTAAACTTTGCACCTTTATCAAGACTTAAAACAGTATTGTGGTGGAGTGCGTCTGATGGGAATCGAACCCTGTGTGAGAGGAAGAGTGGTAGTGTGAGTGGTAAAGTGGTCACTGACCATTCTGCTACTGAATCACCGTCGCACTGTTGCCTTCATATTAGCTTGAAAAGTGTTCTGTTGCACATGTACTCTACAAAGATCATAAAATACATTTGCTGATCTACAAAGATTTAGTTTATAGAGCTTACTTGATGACAACTTTCTACAACATTCTACTTACAATGATGATCAACACTTCCGTAGTATCAGATTCAAAATAAATGACAGTTATGTTGATAGTAATGTGAGTATGGGAAGAACGTGTTTCTCTTAGTTTTGTCTACTTCATTTATTGGATCTTGATTCAAATTCGCGATTAATAAATTGCTCATTTGGAGGTGAAATTTCACTACAAAAATGTACAGATCGTTATATGTGATCTGCTTGATGTCGTGAATAATAATGAAGGAAGCAATCAAGTATAAATGCTCGATGACATATACTACTGATTGATATGAGTAGCTTGAATTCACTGGCATCAAACAGTAGTGCTAGTTAGATCAAAGTGATCTAAGCACTGAGTGGGCATTTCGTTTATTTGCGACTGAACTCATCAGCGGTTTTTAGACTGAAGGTTTGTTTTCGCTTGTTACCAGTTCGCCTAAGTATTAGCCTAATTCAGTGGTCTAGATTGATTCGGTCTTCTCAGATGAATTAAAACGGATACCTCGCTGATGGGATCAACCCCAAATGCGAGAAATGCTTATTTGGTGTTTATACTCCTTGATCTGACTAGTAAGCACTACGCCAAATACTCACAGCATTCACAGGTGTATACCAACATGCAAAATTTATCTTGATTAGCTGATGAAAATAACAGTCATACCACTAAGGAATGGTCCGAAATTTTAGACTGAATCCTTCTAAATGTCAAACTGTTAATTTCAGCTTAAGATGTAAACGACAGTTAAAAGAAGCCATCGATTCTCATGGCAGTTGTAAGATTGACGACAATGACATAGGAATTAAATCAGAAATTAAGTATCTTGGACTTATTCTCTCTTCTGATCTCTCCTGGTCTTCCCATGTCTCAGCGATCTCCAGTAAAATATTCCGCCTGACATTTTACATTAAGAAGTTAAGGCACTCGGGTATAGCTCAACCCCTCCTCTTACAGTTCATAAACTCTTGCATCATACCTATTCTTCTTTATTGTTCACCCTTATTCTTTCCTGGTTTCCTTAAAAAGGACTTTGTCACAATTCGTAGAATGCTAAAGACTGTCAGTAGGGTGGGTGGTGTCCCAGTGGGCCACATAGTTAACGTCGTTGTCGATAGGCACTTGGCTTCGTGCAATAAATTTACTGAAGGGATTTTGTCTGACATGGAGCATGCACTTCACCCTCAGCTTTCACCTTGCATCTCCTCAGGTAGAACAAACAGCAACTTCAGAAAACTGTATGCTCGCACGTCTAAGTATAAAAATTCTATGATACCATACTTGGCACGTATTTTTTGTGATTAAAATAGTGTCAGGCAAGAATTGACTAACCTTTTTTCATCTAGTAAATAAACAATTTCCTCCATCCATCCTTATATACCTTAAGTTTTACTTTTATTATTTCTATTATATTTATGGTCCTGTTACTTCTTTGTTTTACTTTCATAATTGCAAACACCATCTTATCCGTATGACTGCTGTAATCTTTGTTTTCCCCTCACCATATCATGTAAATAGAACATTATATTCAATATTTTTAAACATGCTAGGATTTGTATACCGCTTTGACAATACTGTGTGAAACGAGCCCATGGGAATTTTTACTTGTATTATTATTATTATTACCTTAGCTGTTATGATTATTATTATTATTCCATTTTATATGCTGCATGTTTTGACATTACCCCCATTGTAAATGTGGAAAAATTTTGTGTGATTAATTTTATTTATAATTTGAGGAAATTAGATACATTAATGCTGAAAATTCTATTCTATATCATAAGTACTGTTTTTGGAATAAAACAAATCATTTTTATTATTATTATCATATCATAAGATAAACATATTGCTCAAATATTGTTTTACTGTCCCGTCTTAGATTTTGGGCATCTGTACTAATCACTCTCAGTCCCTGACTGTTCTGCTCTATATCCTACTGTAAAAGAGAAAGATTCCCGGTGTAGTATATGAGGTCGGCTTGAAACAGACATTTAGAGAATGAACTGTGAGCGTGTATGTATGTCTCCATGTATACTCTGTGATGATACATTCATGCATACATGTAATACGGGTGACATCGAGATAGTAGGAAGATTTCAATTAACCTGTTGTACTTCCTTAAATGTTTAAATTATTTTATATTAGTGTACTGTTTTGCTTTTTCTCCGACTTTTTGAGTATGCTCGTGCTGTTAATTACCTTTTGCGTACGTGTGAACATAAAAAAATTTACGCGCACGTCATATGTTTCTTTTTTAATACTTACTTACAAGTAGTACTTCTGATTAACAGCAATTTTCATTCATTGTGTCGGAAGGTCAAAATGTTTTTAGTCTCTTTTTTTTGTCATTTAAATATATTTTCACTTTTGTTTACCACCATCCCTCCATCTTGTATTTTCCCCATGTTTTTTTTTTAATCTTTCAACAACTGTCACTACCCGCCAAAATCCTTTGATATCCTCCTCGGCATAAGAAAGAGTGGAAAGAGAGAAAAGCGTTTGTAGGTAATATCGTGTGTTGACTGTTGTCCGGATGTCAGACTGTGTCGCATACTTCACAATTATGCTCTTTCTTGCGCATGTAAACACATACACACACACCTGCTGATTTCTGCACGAATATGTTGTTTATTTATGTCAACAATTTAAGCCTCATTGACGGTGTTTCCCCTGTGTGTTTACTTTATTCTTCAAGGTGGTAGTAGGGTGGTAGATTACTGATTAAACATTTAAGTAATATCTGGGATTTTCGCACACTTTTTTGATTGCATTTTAATAAGGGAATGTTTCCAAGTCATTCGAGTTATCTTGTACAGAACAATTTTGTATTGGCTATTTACTTAGGCGATTTACAAAGACAGATTAAACTGTTCGGACAACAGAAAATTCAGTTTTATTTTTCTCTGATCGGGCAGTTACAGGAATTCGAGTAAATTTACCATTATTGATAACGGGAGAGTTGAATTTTAAAGCGCCATATAGTTCATGTGAAGCGGACATTCGGAAATCACTGTCACAAATTCCTCGAGATATATAAACAAAAAATTTTTTGCTAAAAATTGAGTTTTTTTTAGAAGTAACACTGATTAGTTTTCCAAGTATGATAACTGTACGTTCGCCTTACACGAATCAATACTAAATACTGTATGCTTGAAATTATATATAAAAAATGACAATAATGATTATTTTGATTCATTCTCCCCCTTTTTTGCCTTTATTTGTGACAGGTTCTTCGACTTTTTGCAGTATGTACTACTAATTTCCATGAACTTATTTGTAATGATCAATCAGAACGTGTTGATGCATGAACGAAGGTGACCGTCCTTGTCTTTGTGTTTGTGTGTGTGATATATATACACTGACGCTAATTGCCTCGAATAATCTTTGTAACTTGATGCATACAATTCAATTCATGGATATTCTGTTTTCCGCCAATTTTGGTTAAACCAATGACTGGCAGTGATTCTTCAATGTGTGATCTTGACATTAAGTCATCATTGACAAGTCATCATCAAGACAATCAACAAAATCAATTGTTTCATCATATACCACCTGCCAATACTATAAGTGCAATTACTTCCGATGTTATTCACAAAACTGATTATACTCACAAGGATACTGAGAATGATGATGATGATGATGATGATGGTAGTGATAATATCATGAAAGATCAGTCGTCTAGGAACAATTGCATTGATGATGATGACCTTGATGAAAATTTAGTTGATGACGGGGATGCAGATATTGTTGATGTTGAAGAGAAGGAGGAGGAGAAAAATAGAAGTCTAAAGCATGAAAGTAAGTGAGCTAAGTATTGTTCTACTTCTAATTGTCATATTATATAATCGCGATTGAACAGTTTGCATGTTTACAGTGGACGACGCACTCGAATATGAAGTAGTGACATTTAGTGTCATTGAAGTCAGGTGATACCTGCGAACGACCATAGCATAATAGCACAAATTGATATAAACAAAGTATGTGGAGTTGGTGCTTCAGGGGTAGAATGCTCGCTAGCCACTCCTACAGGGTTCAGGTTCGATTCCCACTCAACTCACTGCCTAACCTCACCCAGCCTGTATTAAGCACGGAGAAGAGGGAAGGTTGGGCGTAAGTTCAGCAACCTCACCCCGTAAAAGCAACAGTGACGCTACTAATACTCGGAACCAAACGAAAAATTTGGTTACGCAATAAGTGTTAACCCTGACACCTTTGCATTATTATATCAATAATCCTTTATCTAATCGAAATGTCTCCTTTAGTCGGTAATTTTAATAATGAATTAGAAAAAACGGTGAAATGTCAGAATTTCTTTGCACAGTGTAACTTCCGGTCTAGTAGAACCAATCAAAGACTAGTAGTAATCGTGATAAATAACAACCGATACTTGTTTTACAAGCAGCCGTACTCGTGGCTCAATAGTCTAGTGGATAACGCTTTGGTGTTTAAAATGATGAGTGATATATTTGAGTCTCGTTGGGAAGCAGTTACATCCGTCTGACGAGTGCCAAATTGGATTAAACATGCGTCATGAGTTCCACTGATAGCTATCTTCTTCTTATTATTATTCCCTTGGGTTACCAGTGGAACAGAGAGCTTCAGCAGCATATCTCCATTTCATTCTGTCTTATACAGTCTTTTCCAGCCGGGTCCTTAATCGCCCATACAACTTTTATCTACCCCTCACACAATCTCTCTCATGTTACCCTTAGACCCATGCCCAACTTATGATTTCTTATTCGCGCTCCACCCAAGAGCTAGCATGATGTGTGACAGCCCTCAACGATCTGCGCAAAGCATGTCCAGTCCATCTCCATTTCCTTTGATTGACCACTTTAGATATTGGATGGAAGATTTCATCATGAGCTGACATCAGTTAGAGAACCACTGGAAAACCTGCAGGGAGTACTTGACAGCTGTTTCGTCAGCCTACTTTGGGACTCTTCAGTAGTACGCACTCACCGCCAGGGCTTGAACCCAGGACCTTCTGGTTACAAGGCTGGCGAGCTCATAGACCATAGCCACTGGGACCCGATCCAATGGCCAACCCATGAATTCTAACTTCCACCAATCACGATATTTGTGATACTGTTATTCTGATGATATAAGTGAAGTTGTTTTTCAAGATTCTTATCTTTAACTGTCTGATTACTCTACTTTTACTCAAATAGCTTTAGTAAACAGATATGATAGAAGTGAAAGTTAATACCATCAGACCAGAAGGTAATACTAACGGCTTTTTTTCAAACAACACTTTTGATAATGTGTGCAGTACAATATCACATCTAATGTTCTCTTCACATTACGTTTGTAAGGAAGGAAATAATTACAGAACGTTTTTTGACATTTACAGTAATAATAATAATGGCAACAGTGTATTTAAATGTGAAAATAAATTATGAATTAATAGGAACAGTAACAACACTATACTAATGGCAGAAAGAATAAAAATAACCTTTTAGTTACTGTTTTGTAGTAATAAGTTAGAAGTTTCATGCTTAAAACTTCTTTTATTACATAAAAAGTGCCTGCCAAATAATGTATGGTCGATTTTTTGTTGTTGTTGTTGTTGTAATTAATCGTGCCAGCATAAAGCCATTTTCATAATTGTTTGTAGTCCTACTGGCGTAGATGCACGGGGATACTTGTGAATAAAGAGAGTACTGACAGTCCGACAGTCGCGAAGGGTCCAGGTAAGGTATACGAGCTGCCTTGAACCGGAGGGTCCTGGGTTCGAATCCCAGTGGGTACGTACTGCCGATGATTCCCAAACAGCTGTCCAGTACTCCCTGGTTTTCAATGGTTCTCTAACTGATATCACTCCGTGATCAACTCGTAAAAACATAACTAACCCTTACAAACCGAACTATAGAAAATAAACTTTATCAATTTTTTTGCATGAATTCAAATTTCTGTCAAAAACAGCATTAGCCAGTTAGGCTTATAGATATACTACTCACCTTACCGACGGCTGTTAGTGTTCTTCGCCATGTAACAAAGTCTTTTCTTAGGTCGGTGAGAAAAGATTAAGTTGGGAGCAATAAAGAAGAACAGGCAAAATACACGATTTAAAAACTGTAAAACTGGAGACTGAGTGATACAAGATGTGGGACGACCAGGAGAGAGAGAGATCAGAAGAAAAGCTTAATGTGAAACACTTAGCACTTTACTTAGTTTCGACTTTAATGCTGTCTATGTCACAAGAATCATGGTTGAAACAGTTTATAAAAATCTCGCTTGTAAATGGAAGTGAATCTAACAATTTGATGAAACAAAAGTATTACTAGGAGGTATTATAGTGTGATCAGTTAGCAGTTGACAATAACACAGTGAATGGATCTAATCAGCAAGAATTTCTGTTTCACTGTTACATTATTTTTTGTTGAAATCTAAATAAAAATTGAGAGAAACTCATTTCCGTGCTGCGAATTGAATATTTGTCATTAACTCTTTAAACGCCTTGTTTTCCATGAAATATTTGTTCTCCATCGAAGAACAACATTAACAGAAGGAACCCCTGAGAACCATGAAGCACTGGACAGCTGTCCTATGCTACCTAATACTCCTGTGCAGTGATCATCCACGATGCTACGCCAAATCCAATTTAAGACTTTGAGTTTTGTGGCATAGCTACACTACCAATCAGATAATAGGTTGCCATTCCTATGGATTAGGTAGCATAACTTGTGCCATTTTGTGGTAAGACATTATCCAGTGTCATTGATAAATATCTGTTCTCAAAGCTAACTAAGATGGTGATGTACATCAGTCACGGCTTTGAGTTACAACTACCTGACGTGTATTCAGAAGGCTTTTACTAATGAGGTATAAGTAGGATCTTAGGTATGCTCTTATAAACAGCCTCGAAAATGAAGACAAAAGAGATTTTGATTTGTCAAAACATGTATTATTATTATTTCCTTTAATTCCTAGAGGAAAATAGGGCTTCAGCCGCGCGTCTCCATTGAGTTCGGTTCTCTGCTAGAGTCTTCACCTGGCTCCAGGTCTGCCCACATGCTTTCATCTCCTCTTCACATGACCTCCTCCAAGTCACCCTCGCACTCACAACCAACTCGCCGCTTCCCTTTCGGGTTCCACTCGAGCAATGGCTTGTCTAGTGATGTCACTTGATGGTTTGATTCCTCAGAGTATGGCCAATCCATCTCCATTTCTTCCTGCCTATTTGTTGCACAATCGGTTCCTGCTGTGTTGGTTCGCTCATCGCCAGAGATCTCTGTTGCTGATCGTTTCTGGCCGGCCATCTGATCTTGAGTATTGAGCGAATACAACTGTTAATGAAGGTCTGTAGTTTGTTTGAGGTGCTCTTTATGATGCGCAGGGCAAGTCTCTGATCCGTATAGTAGCACTGACTGACTTCACATTGGAGTTGAAAATCCGGATCTTATTTTTCATGCTGAGTGCTGTCGACCTCCACACAGACTTGAGAGAAATGAAAGCTTGCCTTGCTTTCCCGATGATCCCTGCTTTGATATCCTCGTCAGTTCCGCCTGTATTTGAAACGATGCTGCCCAGGTCGGTGGTTAAAGGGGGTTGTTTCTTTCAGGTTCCTTCCATTTATGCTGATTGTTGTATGTTGTTGTTGCTGTTGGTGGTGTTGCCCAGGAATCTTCATCACCTCTGTTTTCTCTATGTTCACCTGAAGTCCTATCTTCTCTGGATGCTTCTTCTGCCAACTTGCTGCTTTTCGCTTGCATATCTTCCAGTTTGTGGGAAATCAGACATATATCATCGGCGAAGTCCAGATCCTCAAAGTTTTTTGTGTGAGTCCATTTTATGCCTATCTCCTCATTGCTCGCTGTCTGTCGCATTATCCAATCTACTGCAATTAGGAAAATCATTGGAGATAATGGCGGCCTTGTCTTACTCCCGTGTTCACTTCGAAGGATTCCGTAAGTTTCCCGTTGTGGATTACGTGGCATGCAGCATTGTCGTACAACTGTTGGATGAGATGTAAAATTGTCGGTGGCACCCCGTAGTAGCGAAGTAGTTGCCAAATCACCTCTAGATCGACGCTATCAAAGGCCTTTCCAAAGTCGATGAAGTTGAGATAGAGAGGTGACTGCCATTTGAAGTTTTTTTAAATGATGATCCGTATTGTGACGATTTGATCAATGCATGACTTGTTTCTCCTGAATCCAGCTCGTTCCGGTCGAAGTTTTTCATCCAGGGCTTGTTTGATTCTCTCCAGGATGAAATCAAAACATGTAAGTTGAATGTAATCGAATCTCCATCATTTATCAGGATGAATCCTTATTAATAAAGTTCAGTTGATTAATAAAAGTAGTGGGAAAGCACTCATGTCAACCAGTAGTGCTTGCTAGGCAAGTTTGAAGCATTTTAAATATCGAATGGTCATTTCAGTCGTTCCGGACGGAGCTCATCAGCAGCGTACTTGGTGAAAACTCAGTTCAAATCAGACACACTGGCCGGATCCTTTGGCAATTTGGTAATACATAAATACAAATTCACCGTCTGCGAACTGCACAGTTTGAGGTGAGAATCCACCACAGTTTCCCTCGAAAATGAAAATGATTCAGATAACAGTATATGATTTACTTGATAGCGTTAATGGTGATCAAGAAAGAGGTAGACGTACGATGACGCTACATACTACTGATTTATATCAGTAGTCGGAAGCCTTTCACCTCGAGGCAAAAATAACAAAAGTGTGGGAGGGGTGGGTTAATGTGAGCTTATTTTTCATCATTATCTCACAGATAGTTTTCAAATACTTACATCCTGAACAATATCAGAGAATGAATAAGGTGAGTTGGACA